CCCAGGGGAGGCTCGCCCCGCATGGAGCCCGCCGGGAGCCGCCTGCGGGGCAAGCCCTTCCACGGGCGCGAGTGGGCGCTGGGCCGGCTGGCGCTGAGCCTGGAGGGGGGCGGCGGGGTGCTGGTCACGGGCGGCGCCGGCAGCGGCAAGACGGCGCTGTGCACCGAGGCGCTGTGGCCCACCTCCGGGCCGGGCCTGCGGGTGGCGCTGGGCGACTCTGCCCTGGCCTGGCACTTCTGCCAGGCGCACGACGCCGCCGCCACCTGCACCCCGCGCGGGTTCCTGCCGCGGCTGGTGCGGCAGCTCGAGCGCTGCCCGCTGCTGCCCGGCTACCGCGAGCGCCTCCGTCGGGGCGGCGCCCCCCGGTCGCTAGAAGCCGCCGCGTGCAAGGATCCGGACGAGGTCTTCCGCAGGTAAGCGGCCCCCGGCTCCCCCGCCCCGGGACGGCCTCGGAGCCCCCGGGCTGCCCTTCCGGAGAGAGGAGATGCCCGAGGAAGCGAGGTCCGGGCGCAGCCCCTCCTCCCCCGCCGGGCTCCGGCTGGCCTTCCCAGGCACATTGGGGCCTGGCAGGGTGCCCCTCCCCCCGCCTTGATCTCATGGGGGGCTTTGTAGAGCACCTCCGGCCATCCAGACTGTTTGGCTGCCTGGGCTCCCAGCCGCTTCCTCGGTTGCCCCAGGTGCAGTCTGGAAGTCGTGGGGATGGCTGGGGGGGGGGCAGTGGCAGGGAATGGGGTTCGTCCTGACCCAAAAAGGTCAGCCAGGGCCCTTCTCGTGCCCAGGAACAGAAGCACCACCAGTGCAGGGCGGCTTGGCTCTTAAAGCTTCCGGGGGGGGGGCGGGCAGGGGGTGTTGCATTGCCAGCCTGGTCAACACTGGTGCTGGGTTTCCTGGAGGAGCAGAGAGGATGCAGGCGCATTTCCTGTGTCGTTTCTACCCGCATTCCTAGGCTGGATGCGCTTTCCCTGCCTCTGCCATGCGCTCGGCCCACATGTGGCCAAAGGGGCCCTGGGCCAGTGGCCAAAGCAGGGCCGGGGGGGGGGCTGGAAGAGGCAGGCTCGGTCCCTGCAGCCCTCTGGTTTTAAGCTTCCTATCATTCTGGACTCTGTCCAAACGCTGTTTCCTTTCATCAAAAGATGGCTTTCAATTTATGAACTAAATATAAGCTAAACTGCACCCACAAGAGGTCCTGAGGCTGGGCGCAAGCAGTGCCTGGCCTAGGCCTCTAGGCTCCAGCTGCAGAACACTGGGGGCTCCCCTGCCCCCCCTTCAACTCTCCCCCTTCCCCTCCCCCCAGAGCAGTGCTGCTGCCCCTGCTGGACCTGCCACCCCCCCAAAAGCCTCTGCTGGTCGTGGTGGATGCCTTGGATGCAGGCAAGAGAGATCGCCAGGAGGAAGAGGAGGAGGAGGAAGAAGAAAGAGGCCCCACTCCAGGGCCCAGCAAGTCCATTGCCCAACTTCTGGGGAGCCACCTGCGGCTGCTGCCCCCCTGGCTGCTCCTGGTCTGCAGCGCCCACTCCCAGAGCCAGGGGGTCCTGCGCCTCTTCCCTGGTGAGCAGGCCCTTGGGGTGGGGGAGGGGGCGGCTCTTGCCACAGAGGTGCTGCAGCTGTCCTGGGCCCCCTTAGGGTAGAGCTTTCCATGGAGGGGGTCCTTGACTCTTCAGTCCTTGGGGAGGAGGGGGGAACTGAAGAGCAAACAGAAGAGACCTCTCTGCCCAGATGTGACCCCTGTCAAACTAACCCCGGTGCCCTTCGCAAACCAGCTACTGGCGACATGGAGGCAGCCTCTCCCTTGAGAATAGGGGCCAAATGGGTGGGAGAGCCGGCACGTGAATGCTGGCTGCTCTTTGCTTGCGGGGCCCCATGGCCCTCAGCCCCCGTGAGAGGGAGCTAGGGCGGGGTAGGCCATTGTCTCATCCAGCCTCTTCCGCTGCAGGATTCCGACAACTGTGCCTCGATGACCTTCAGAGGGAACCCATCATCTGTGATGTGCAACACTACATCCTCGCCCGGCTGGACCGGGAGGAGGCGCTCCGGCGGCGCTTCAGCCAGGACACGACCACAGCCCTGACCCAGCTGCACCTGAAGAGCAACGGCTGCCTGCTGTACTTGGAACAGGTGTTAGACAGAGTGGCGGAAGAGTTGGTCACCCCGCAAGAGGTCCGTCACATCCCAGGGACGCTCTCTGGACTGTACCTGTGGCTCTGCCAGCGCCTCTTCCCACACAAACGGTTTGCCCTGATCCGCCCTCTGCTGGAGGCCCTGCTGGCAGCCCCTCGCCTGCTGACGCCTCGTGAGCTTCACGCTGCCATCTGGACGTGCCGTCCACTTCTCTGGGAGAGCTTTCAGGTCCATCTGGCAGCCTTGGCAGGGCTCCTTCAAGAGGGCCCTGGGGGTACCTGCATGTTCTTCCATGTCAGCTTTGCCGAGTGGCTTTGTGACATCAAGCTTTGTACGTGGAAGTACCACTGCTGCCCGGCCCGAGGGCACGCCCTGCTTGCCGTAAGTGCCTCCTGCCGGGCACTGGAATTAAGCCCGGAGGAGGTGATCGAACTGGCCCAGCACTTGCTGGCTGCCAAGCTCTGCCTTGAGGCCTGGCAGCTGGCGATGTGGCTGGTGTGGTGCCGGGTGCCTGTGGAGCGCTGCTTGGGGCCAGAGCTGCTGGTGCCCTTGGAGCCAGCGGTGCTGGAGCTGCTGGTGCTGGCGGGTGCTCGCCTGGGGGAGCGAGGGCCGGCCCCATCCCTGCACCAAGCCTTGGAGCGGGAGGATTCTGTGCGGATGCTACTAGAAAATGGCACCAGCGTTAACCAGCGGGACGTGGACGGGCGCACCTGGCTTGCTAGTGCCGCCCACAGCGGCAACCATGAAGTGGTGGGGCTGCTCTTAACACACGGTGCGCAACCAGAGGCCCCAGATCACCTTGGACAGACCCCCATGACCTTGGCTGCTCGCCAAGGACACACAAAGGCCCTGCTTTGCCTGCTGGCCCACGGCACAAAGGTCGATTGTGCGGATCACAAAGGTTGGACAGCTCTACGTGCGGCTGCCTGGGGCGGTCACAGCGAAGCCGTTGGTGTTCTGCTGCAAGCTGGGGCCACTGTGGATTGTGCTGATACCGAGGGGAGAACAGCACTGAGGGCTGCTGCCTGGGGTGGCCATGAGGACATTGTGGCCACTCTGTTGGAGCACGGAGCAGATGTCAACCGGGCTGATTCTGAGGGGCGGACGCCACTCATTGCTGCTGCCTACATGGGTCACGGAGGGATTGTGGCTCTGCTGCTGAGCCATGGGGCTCGTGTTGACCACGCCGACATGGATGGGCGGACTGCCCTCTCGGTGGCCGCTTTGTGCATTCCAGTGAGCCGTGGCTGTGCCAAGGTCGTAGAGCTTCTCTTAGATCACGGTGCTTCTCCGGGACATGCCGACTGGGACAACGTGGCTCCCTTGCTGGTAGCTGCCTATGAAGGCCACGTGGACGTCGTGGAGCTCTTGCTGGAAGCAGGGGCCGAAGTGGACCAGGCTGATTCCAGAGGCTGCACTCCACTCTTGGCTGCTTCCTCCATGGGCCATCGGGCAGTGGTAGAGACTTTGCTACTTTGGGGGGCAACCATAGATGTCCTAGACAGTGAAGGCCGGACTGCTCTGGGTGTTGCAGCTGGACAGGGCAGCGAAGCCGTTGTCCAGGCTCTGCTAAAGCGGGGCTTGGATGAAAACCGCCCAGATGGGCTGGGCTGGACCCCATTGCACTTGGCGGCCTGGCAGGGCCATCACAGGACATGTGCAGCTCTTTTGGAGGCTGGAGCCCACGTAGGCAAGCCGAACCAGGACGGCCGCGTCCCACTGATGCTGGCAGCCCAGGAAGGACACACGGATGCTGTGCAGCTCCTGCTCGAGCACTACTCCCCCATCGACCACCAGGGCTACGATGGGCTCTCGGCCTTGTCTCTGGCTATGCTGGCCGGACACCACAGCACTGCCGAGCTGCTTCTGCGCAAGGGGGCAGAGGTGAACTTGTCTGACTCCGAGGGTCGTCCCATGCTGTACCTCCTGATGCTGGAGGGCTGTGTGGAGATGGCCGAATTGTTACTGGAACACGGGGCCAGGGTGGAGGGGCGGGATGCCCAGGGCCGCACTGCATTGCACGTCACCTGCTGGCAGGGGCAGGGGGAGGCCACCCAGTTGCTGCTGAACTACGGGGCAGACGTGGATGCCCTCGACAAGGAATGCCGCTCGGCCTTGCACCTGGCTGCCTGGCAGGGCCATGGGAGCATTGCACACCTGTTGCTAGGGAGGGGGGCGCAGCCCAACCATAGTTGCAGCCAAGGGGCCACTGCTTTGGGGGTGGCCGCGCAGGAAGGGTGGGCTGATGTGGTGGAGGTTTTGCTGGAGCACGGGGCCAGCCCCGATGTCCAGGACAAGTCAGGCCGCACCCCCAGGTGGCTGGCAGCCAAGCGGGGCCACCAGGCCGTGCTAAAGCTGATGGAAGGTTATGGGGCCTGGCCGGGACCAGCCTCTCCCCAGCTGGGGTCTTCCAGCAGCTCGGCCAGCAGCCCCGTCCCCCAAGGCAGGCGAGGCGAGTCTCCTGCGGCCTGGCTGGGTTCCACTGGTGAGTCGCAGCCCTCCCCTGGCTCTTCAGCCACAACGTCCACTTTTCACTCCCATGCTGCCCCCCAAATAATTCCCCTGGACCCACTCTCTGGGGCACAGCAGATGCAGCGATACTCCCCACCCCATCGGCCCCGGCCAGGCCTTTTGGCGCTACCGCCCTCTCCAGCTCGGGGCGAGCATAGCAAAGACTCCAGGGGGGCCCAGATCTCCATTGACACGCTGGCCCCCCACCTGCACCGTAAGGCAGCCATCAAGCTGCAGTTTGAGGGCCCGACTTGCGGCTATCACTATAAGCAGGAAACTCCCCTTTGATGTGGGGAAGGGGGCGAGTCTCCACAGGCACCAGTGCCAGGCCGGTGTGACTGGTCAGTGAGAGGTGCGGTCCTCGGCGCAGTGCTTTGGCACTCATGGCTAGGAATGCTGAGGGGGGTCCTCTTTAGGACCTCCGGTGTCCACCCCAAGACCCATCCAGCTTTGGAAAGGTGGGTCCCATCTAAGAAGGGAGGGGGCAGAAGTGCTACAGTGGTGTCGGGTATCACACGCTCTGTGGCTATGTGGGGGTCATGTTCCTCTCAGCAGCTGAGAGCCTCCCCCAGGAAAGGGGGCTGGTGACCCTCAGCTGTGCCAGTAAAAGGCAACTGGGGTCTGGCTGCCTTTCTGCACCTAGGCCGAGCCTAAAGCTAGCACACCGTACAGTGCCTGCATGCGCACAACCTGCTATGCAGAAAAGAACCACCCTTCTGGGTTAAGATGATGGCCTTGTTCACACAGTGTGCCGGATCACACAGATCACCCAGGCCTTTTACACGACTAATCTGTGGTCTCGTGTGGATTCAGTTGCTGACTCTGGCCTGGTGGCCGAGGCCGGAAGGGAGCATCTGGGTGCTTTTGAATGTCTGCTGTGCCGTGTGTGTGTGGGGGGGTGCTCAGCTCCAGAAGGGAGGGATCTTACCCCACAACCTCAACCTCTGGCTGTTTGAGGGCAGCCCTCCGGCACTGGAGGCAGCCATCTGCCGGGGATGCTGCGATGAAGGGCTCCTGCCCTGGGCTCTCTGACCACCATGAGGCCCTTAAGCGTGACTACCTGGGGGGGGTGATCCAAAAAGAATAGGGGCGAGGCTCCTTCCTCTGGTGCTCTCTGCCCAAGCAATCTCTAGATGTGGGGAAGCGGCTCCCACCAGATGTCAGTCAGCCATTTGCGTGGAAACTCTGGGGTGCCCCAAGAGGAAGAAAATGCTGGCTGGCTGCCTGATCCTGCCCAAGTCCATCTGCCCAGGCCCAGTTCCATAGGAGCAGCAGAGAACCAGGACATCCTCACAGCCTCCACTGTGCTGGATGGTCCTGTCTGCCCGCTCCTTGGACTGGGCGCTATTCGCCCTTTGCCTCTGGGGAGGCCTCTTTCGCCTCCCGGGTGCTGCAGCCCTCCGTGCTGGCATGGGATCGGGCACCTGCCAGGTGGGCCTCTGTCCTTGGGCGCTCTCAGCCAACCCACCTGCAGCTCCAGATGAGACCCTCTCCCTCGATCTGGCTGTGGAGGGGGAGGGGCAGGGAAGGCGGCCATTTCACCAGAGATGCATGCAACGAAATTTCATTTTGGTGTATGCCGATTGGTGTACGTTCAAAGTGACAATAAAGTTATTGTTATTGTTATGTGGAGGAGCAGACCTCAATAAAGGTTCAGCCAACGCTGGTGTTCCTGTCGCCTGGTTTGTCGGGGGTCCTGGGGGAAGGAGAGGAGGAAGAAGGACCAGAAAGTGGGGAGGGTGGGTGGGCACAACCCCTCTGGGCACCCTCAACACCCACCCAACGCAGAGGCCCACTGAGAATCCAGGAGCCTTCGGAAAGGGCTGAGGCCCAACACAGCTCAAAAGGCCGTCTTGCCCCAGGGCTTCAGTTAAAGGCACACGGAGAACAGACCCTCTCCTGCGCCAGGCCAGGCCAGGGCTGTAAAGGAGCTGGCGTAGGCTAGGCGTCGGGAGGGACATCCTGCCCAAGAGATGCAACCAGCTGCTCCATGAAGCTGTGGCTGCTTCCTTGCCACAGGCCACCAATTCTAGCATGGACAAGCAGGGCCCAAACAGAAGGGCAGGTTGTGCTTTGTGCTGTTTTGCTACACAACAGATGAGCCGACCACACGTCCACCTCTCTGGGGTCTAGAAGCTTGGGGGCCGAGTCCACCTGGGGGTGTTGTTCCTCCACCACCGCCCCGCTTGCCTTTTGCCTGGGGCCCCCTGACTGAGCGGAAGGAGGGCGGTTCTTAGCCTGCCTCGCTCCTCACGGGCTCTGATAACAACCAAGCAGGGTTGTGCTTTTCCCGGAGGCCACTGGGCTTCCTTTGTTTCGCCTTGAAGGCATTTCGCCTCTCATCCAAGACGCTTCTCCAGTTCTGTGCACAGCTAAATGTCTGTGGAGATTCTCAGTCATCCAGGTCATGGTCGTCCCAAAGGTGCTTTTTCAAGAACTGAAGAAGCTTCTTGGATGAGAATCGAAACATCTTCCGGGAGAACCCAATCCCAGTGGCCTCTGGGAAAAGCACCTCTGGGTTATCCCTGCTTGGTTGCATCAGAGCCCGTGAGGAGCGAGGCAGGCTAAGGACCGGCAACCTTCAGCCGACAATCGCAGAAACCGCCCTCCCGCCCCCCACTCAGGGAGGCCTCTTCAAGGGGAAACCGAGTCCCATTGCCTCTTGAAGAAGCTCCTCTGGGTCAGCCACACAAACAGGGACAACCATTAACAACAGGTGTGCAAACCACAACACACACACACACCAGAGTGCCTTACGAGCAACGGGCAGGGTTTCCTGGGATGGGGCCTACCGTGAGCCCAGGCCACAGCGGCAAGGGATCGCTTGGACCACAGGGAACAAGGAGGGAGAGATTTTTTCAAAGGGGGGGGCTACCACAGAGGCGGCCTTCTGCCTGCCCCCTTACTTGGGGTGTTCTCAGCAGGCGCCCGGGGGTAGCTCCCACCTGATCAGCACCAGGATGCCTTCTGGGGAGGGGCTTGCAGTGGAGCCCCTGTGCAGGGCCTGAGGAAGACCCCCCCCCAGAGCTGGGTGGGGCAGCATGGAGCCTGAAGGAGAGGAGGAGCTGCCCCACGGCCCATCTCAGGTCAGCCTGTGAGCAGCCTTGCATTCCCGGCCGGTTGTGGCCTGTGCCTGCTTTCCAAGACTTGAGTTCGGATCAGCTCACTCTTGCTGCCTGCGAGGGCCTGGCCTTTCTGGGGGGCCCCAAGGCCCACCCATCTGCAGGGCTGCTCTCCCCCTTTGGCCAGCCTCCCCCACAGCAGCCAGAGGCCATCCTGGAGGGCAGAGCTAGGAACCGCCTTGCCAGGGTGGTGTCGAGGTTCTTCCGTCCCTCCGTCTGGGCAGGAGGCTGGGGAGCCCTCCTTGGGCCAAAGCCTCCCAGGACTGGTGCCCCAGAGGGACCCAGGGGAGCCCAGGCCAGCGAGGGGGCGAGCAGGGCAGCCGTCTCCAGAGCCAGCCCCATCGGCAGTGGGGCTCCAAGGCTGCCAACAGACAGCGTGAGGGCTGCCAGCTGGTGCAGCTGCAGGAGAGTGGCAGCAGCGTCCCTTGTGCCACCCACGCGGCCTGCTGGAGGGCAGCCAGCTCTCGCTGCCGCCGTGCCCAACTGCTCCTCTTCTGCAGCCCTACAGCAGCTGTGCCAGCTGATCCTGGCACGGCTAAAATGCCAGCACCAAAGAGCATCCCCCGATGTGCCAGGGGAGGGAGGCCAGTAGCCCAGGCGAGCAGAGAGCCTCCCCGCCTGAGGAGAGGGCAGCACAGGCGCAATTCACCTGGCCAACCTGACCAGGCCACACACACGTGTGCCTTACTCATCTCCGGTCCAGACTAGCACAATGCACTCTAGGTGGTGCCGCCCTTGAAGACCGTTCCGAAGCTGCGGCTGGTCCAGAGGGCAGCAGCTCAGGCATGCCTCGCTTCCCGGATGTGCCACCTGCAATGGTGCTCTGTTGCCTCTGGATGCCACCTTTAAAGCCTCGTGGCTGGCACCTCCGTATCTACAGAAGGGGCTGCTCCCAAAGGGGTTTCTTCCCAACCACTGTGACTGGGAAGAGGGGACCCCTCAGGTGTCTCCATCTTAAAGAGAACCATCCACACGAATCCCAGAGGCCTGCTGAGCAGAAAATTTCTATCTATCTATCTATCTATCTATCTATCTATCTATCTATCTATCTATCTATCTATCTATCTATCTGTCTGTCTGTCTACTATATCCCTCTCTCTCACATACACACACACACAGGCTGGGTGAGCATTTCCTATTTCCTGAATTTACTGGGGTTCGGGGAGGGATGGGAACTTGAGACTGGCTGCTTCCTGGGGACCAAAGAGGCAGCGATGGGCTAGTGCAGTCAGGCTTTCGAGATTCTGTTACTGAGGCCGATATCAATCAATGGAGTTTTGCCCAGCCCTGGGGAGTCAGTTGTCTCATTTGGCCTACCTCGCAGGGCTGGCTCTCCACATCATTTCCCAGACTTTGTGGCCGCAGCCCTCCCCCCCCCATAGCAGAGGAAGGGCATTGCTTCCTCCTCCTCCTCCTCCTCCTCCTCCTCCCGCCCAGATGATGCAAGCAGAGCCTTCTTTGTGACGTCACAGGCCAGGTGAGCTTCTGTGCTGCTGCCCTGGCCCTGCTGCCTCCAGGACTCTGGGGGAAACCCCTCCTCCCTCCCCAACTGGCTCCCCCCAATCTCTCCTGGCTTCCCTTGTGGCCCAGCCCACCCCACACACACACCCCAGATGCCTTACGGGGCAGCCCCACAGCAGGCAAGATGGACAGCGGAGGGACCCCAAGTCTCAAGATCAGCGAGGCAGACGCCAACTGGGAACTGATCCGGGACAAGGTGAGAGGGCAGAGCTGGCACTGGGGAGGGCAGTGCCCCAGCAGGCTAAGGGGCCAGCCTAGATGTGGGTCGGGGCAGCAGCAGCAGCAGGGGCTTTGCAAGACCCCTGCTCCCCCTTGGCCTGGACGGGGAGGGGTTCATCAGCTGCAGGGAACTGGGGGGGCTGTCTTTGGCAGGAGAGAGCCCTGGACACCTGGGTCCATTTGGCCACGAGTGAGCCAATGTGTGGTCTGAATGCATTTATGCTTTGGTTCCCTTGATTGCTGGACATTTCTCCGAAACCCATCAATTCAGGAGAGGGGGAGTCCGGGGGAGAGAAAAGCACATGCAGTCTAGAACGATGGCAGCCGCAGATGAAGAGAAAGATCATTCACGAAGGCGAATCTGCGTGTCCCAGGATCATGTTGAAGGATCCAATCTGGGTCGGTCACCAGAACCGGAGGTTTCTTCTTCCGAGCTTTTGGACTCATGCTGGACCCCCACCCCCCCACCCCCAGGGAACTTCTCTCTAGCAGAGTGTGTGCTTTGGGCTGTTCTGTGTGTGATATTTGTATGGTGCCTCTTTTGTGTGGCTTTTCAATCAACATCTAAAAAGCCACACACAACAGGCACCCTATAAATATCACACACAGAACCGCCCAAAGCACACACTCTGCTAGAGAGGTGTTCCCTGAGGATGGGGGGGGTGGGGTCTAGCACGAGTCCAAAAGCTCCGAAGGCGGCACCTCCAGTCCCGGTGACCGACCCAGGATGGATCCTGCGGAAAGATCATTTCTCCAGGTCAAACTAATACCTGGTTTGGCTCAACCATCAAGGGAGGTGGGAATGGTTGACCTGTGCACAGGGGGGAGGACTTGCCAAGGGAGGGGCACCAAGGAGCCTCCCAGGAGAGAAGGCAGCAGGGAGCAGGGCACGGAGAGAGGGGGAGGGAGGAGACCCAGCAGAAGACCACTCCCACCCCGGAGCCTGGAAGGGATGCCCGGTTCCCCCCACAGCCGAGACCCTCCTGGGCCCCAGAAGAAGAGCAGCTGCCAGGCACTAAGCAGGCAGGGACGAGAAGGGCTGGGGAGGGGATGGGACTTGAGGCTCCTCCCGGCAGCCCATCACTCAGACAGCCTATCAAGGTGTTCGTTAAGCTCAGTCAGTTGAAGCAGAGGAGACTTCAACTCCCAGAATTCCTGCTGGCTATAGAATTCTGGGAGTTGAAGTCCACACATCTTCAAGGGTGAGAAAAGCTGGTCTATCAGGTGAGATGGGGGGGGAGGAGGAGGGAAGGGCAGCACCTGGCAAGGGAGGGCCACGCCTGGTGGGAGCCGGCGAGGCTTTAAGCTGAATCCTGTAACGGTGGGAGCCGAGAGCCCAGAGAAGAGCAGGAGACCAAAGTCGGGGCCTGCGTTTTGAGGGGCGGGACGGGGGGGGGGGGGGAGGCGCCCGGAGACAGGCACATAACTGCAGGACGGGAACGGGCCATCTGCGTGTCCCAGGGAGGCCAAATTCTCTGCATGAGGGCACAAAAACGCCAGCATGCATGTCGGCCTCTGAGCACGCGGGTCCAGCAAAGAGCATCGGGATAAGGATGCAAGTGGCTGAGGAGATGTGGAAGATGCCATCCCGGGAGGAGCAGATCGCAGAGGAAGGCAATCTTGGGAGAACTCAACAGCCCAAACCTCATGTTGGAAAACTCACTTGGCCCAGTCCGTAAGGTTCAAAAATTCCTCCAAGGTCAGGCCGGCCCTCTCGTTTTCCAGCAAGCAGAAGCAGAATCCCAGCGTCCTGTTGAATCCCCTCCGGCCAAGTGGGGGGGGGTCCACAGGCTCCCACAGAAGGTTCGGGCTCCAGGGGTTGCTTCTTCTCTTGACATGGACTGAGCAGTGGCATCTTTCCCCTGCCCGTCACACCCCCTACCCTTTGTGGCCCCCTCCCTGCCCATCTGGGTCCAGGGCCCGTCCTTCCTTGCTCGCCCCTCTCTTTGAGCATGCCTGCAGAAGAGATGGGGCAACACTCCTGCTCTCCAAAGGCAGGGAAGGCCGCGCTCCCTGGAACGCCCTCCCCTTCTGTCTCCCCATAGGTCATTGAGGAGCGCTTCGGGCCCACTGTGGTGCCGGTACCCTTCCTGGAAGATGCCGCCTCCTACGACCTCCTGACGGTGCTGATCAAGAAGCCGCAGCTGGGGCAGAACCTCCTGCGCAGGCAGTGCTGCCTGGTGCCCATCGGGCCCCTGGAGAGCCTGCTGCCCGGGGGCCCAGCCCCAAGGGAGCTGACCCACTGCACCCGCGAGTACAGCGCACGGGTGAGGGGCGAGTCCCGCTATGAGGAGACGCGGCTGGTGGACGGGGCCCTGCGTCACATCCGCCTGTGCCTGGCTGGCGTCCATAAGAAGGTGGCCTTCCTGGCGCTGCGTCCCGGGACGGTGGCCCTGCGCCCGGACCTGCCGTGGCTGCGTTCCCAGAGCAGCCTCTACGTGGTGCACGAGGTCTTCTACGCCAGCAGCCTCTCGCTGGCCGTCACCCAGGAGGCCGAGCACCGCCACTTCATCCGGGAGCAGCCCCTCCCGGTGGCCTTCTCCTGCCTCAAGTTCACCCTCAGCCACAAAGGCGTGCTGGGCTCCCAGAAGCCCATGGGCCACAGCCTGCCTGCCAGGGCAGCCTGGGTGAGGATGGCCATGCTGGAGGCCTCTCCCCCAGCCAAGGCTCTGGAGGGCCCCCTGCCCAGAGAGGGCCTGGCCCTGCGCAAGCGGTGGAGGGCCCTGGGCAGGCCCCTGCGGACAGTGACAGGTGAGGAAATGGGGAGAAGCTGCCCCCCACCTCCCCCAAAGCGAGGATGGAGTCACTGGCTTCCCGCCCTGCCCAGAAGACTAAACCCAGAAGGGTCTGTTTTGCCCTAGATCTTAGGAGGGCTTCAGCCAGCTTGCACGGCAGGCTCTCCTCCCCTGGGCTGCCGGGGCGAAGGGCCACCCAGCTCCTCCTCCTCCCTGGAGCCCAGAGGGCCTCTTCTAGCACAGCCAGAGAGCAAGGCCCACCTGCTCACTCCATGTATAGGAAGATGGGGGAAGGAGAAGGGGGGAGGACGACAACTGTCGGGTCCTAGGTGAGCTTTGATCTTGTTTGTTTACTTGCAGACGTTTCATGACCCAACTAGGGTACATTATCAGTGCCAGAAGGGAGTGTGGGCTATGCAGAGGGGAGTACAAAGAGGAGGAATTAGGAGGAATGAGGAAGCTTGGGAGAATAAGCCTCCAGTCCTGGTGACCGACTCAGATTGGAAGAGGAGGAGGAGGATTTGGGATTCTCAGGAGGGGGGAGACTCCTGGGGGACTCCTGCCAGGACCCCCCCCCTCCTTGTTCTGCATCTCCACAGGGAAGTGGCCCTTCAGGCAGCGACGGCCCAGGCTGGGGCTCTTCTGCGGCGGCCTGGCTGACCCCGAGAGGCACTGCATGTCCCTGCCCCTCCTACAGAGCATCGCAGCCACCGAGAGCGACACGGAAGAGTGATGTGGACGGCAGCAGCCCCCCCCCTGCAATAAATTGCCTTGTTTCGCATGCAGCAATGCCCAGACTCTGGCCTGGCTGGGGGGGCTGTTCCCCAGATGGGGGGCAGCAGGGTCCCTCCAGCCGAGGCCCCGGAGGACAGGAAAGATCAGCCCTGTGATGGGTCCGGTCTCGGATCCTTGGCAACCTGGCACCGGGGGGGAGGGGCCTTATACAGCCCAGCTGCGCAAAGCCCTGTTGGGGAGCTTGAGGTGCCCCCCCCAGTAGGAAAAGAAAAGAGCAAGAGGGTCCCTGCTCTGGCGTAAGCTGCCCCTCCCAGAGGCCCAGGGCTAGAGAGAGGGAGAAGGGCTGAGAGAGCGCTGGGCATGGAGACCACCTTGCCCAAGGACCCCCATACGGGCGGGCGAGGGGGCGGCTCCACCCAAGACACAGACACACCGCGGAGGGCAGGCAGAGGCAGCTTCTTATATATATATATGTATGTATATATATATATATATATGTATATATTGCAACAAACAAATTTTCCAGAAAAAAAACATTCATTCCCAATAAATTAAAAAGGTCCATGTCCTGGTATGGAGTTTTAAAAAGGGGGGGCTCCCTGCGGGGGCCCCACCCCAACCGGTGGGCCTGGCAGGCCGCGGAGCCAGGGGAGGAGAGATGGCGGGGCGTCACTCCGGGGGGGGCTCCAGCAGGAAGGGCGAGGTGACGGCGTGGGCCTGGGCGATGGCCGCCAGCTCCTTGAGGAATTCGCTGAAGACGACCGCGCAGTAGATGCCGTTCTTCACCCGCAGCGCTTCGCTCTGCTTCTCGGCAGAGCTGCGGAAGAGGGAGCCGCCCGAGAGCGCCTGCAGCACCTGGCCCTCGCGCACGTGCTGCAGGGCCAGCTGGGCGGCCTGGCGGGCCCGCGTGGGGCTGTTGGTGTGGCGCATGATCAGCTCCCCGATGGTGGGCTTCCGGCTCTTCACTGGCGGGAGAGTGGGCACGGGTCAAGACCGGCAGCCTCACGGCCAGCGGGCGAAAGCCAAGCCTCGCCAGGGCCACTGAGCGCCTGGCCCTGGCAGCCCTCCCGGCAAGCAAGGCACCCCAGGAGAACCCCTCCCCTTCCCCCCAGCCACCCCCAAAAGGCGGCCCCTCCCCAGGCGCCCTTTCTGCCCCTCGCCAAGGGCCCCGCCTGGCTCACCGAGGGCCTCAGGGCGGCGCAGGGGAGGCAAGGGGTTGGTGGCGTCGGGGCCGTCCGGCCTGGCCCGGGCAATCAGGTACTTCCTGGCCTTGAAGAGGAGCGACGGGAAATCCTCCTGGCTGGCCGCAAAGCCCTCGATCTTGTTCTTCACGGAGCCCAGGACCTGCCGGGGGCGGGGGGGGAGAAGAAGCCAGGCCCTCAGCCCCCTTCTGTCTGCAGGGAGAGCCTGGGGCGCCCCTCCCCCCTGGCCGCAGGGCTACCTGGAGGAGGGACTTGACGCTGGGCTGGAAGACCATGTTAGTGTTGAGCAGGAAGGAGCGCAGGAGGGGCTGCGGGTAGCAGGCGAGCTGGGCCAGCAGCCCCGTCAGCAGGAAGTTGACGTAGAGCGAATTCTGCAGCATGTTCTCCAGCTTGGCCAGCAGGATGCCCAGGAAGGGGCCTGCGGACACAGGTGGCCGTCAGGCGGGTGGGGCGAGGCACGGGCCCTCCCCAGACCCTGGGCTGCTGCACAAGAGGGCTCAGGGGCGGGAAGGGGGCCAATCCTGCCTCTTGGGTAGCCCACCCTGGACCCGAGAGGCAGCCTGAGATGGGAAGGGCCCCTTCCCTTCGCTCTCCCGTAATGGTTCAGAGCCATTGTGAACCGGTTCGTTGATTGCAACCCAGGAGAGCCCTGACCAACTGACCAGGCAGCCGCTTCCCTTAAAAGGGCCGTTTAGGAAACAAACAGCACCAAGGCCTGCGAGAATCTTCCCTGGGGGGCCAGCGTGACGGACAGGCCGGGCGACAGCACAAGGCGGGAGGGAAAACCACCGCCCGGGGGTCCTGGAGAAAGAAACTCACCGGTGAAAGGCTGGCTGGGAGGCTGCCCCGAGGACCGGGGGGGGCTGCTGATGATCTGGGACAGGGGGTCAGCAGGCGGGGCGGGGGCCGAGCCCTCGGGGCAGAAGTGGTGGTAGGCTTCCTCTTCCTCCCGGGAAAGCGGTTCAGGCTCGGGGGCCGGGTCTGACCCAGGGTCTTCCTCGGCTCGGCCCCCATTGGCCATCTCGTCCTGTAGCTGACACAGTTCCCGATGGAACTCCTCAACCGTCAGCGGCCCCCCGTTCTCCAGGGGGGCCTGGCTCAGCCCCTCAGCCACAGGCAAGTCCAGGCAGGAGGCGCCCTCCCAAGGGCCGGGGGACAGGACCGACCCGTTCTCCAAGAGGTTCTCAGGCGGGCACCAGCGGCCCTTCTTGATGCCAGCGTCCAGGTGGGCCCCGTTAAGCAGCGGGTGCTTGTCTTTGGTGTCCGCAGGTGGGGCAGTGCCGGGTGGAAGACCAGCAAGGCCCCCTTCTAGGCTCGCTCCCCGCTTTTTAGTCCGGGGGGAGGCAGGTGCAGGGTCTGGCGGGGGCCCCCTGGGATGGACGGATGTGTTGGCTGTCGAGGCATCCGGAGGCGGACCTAAGCTGCCCGCATTGGGCTCCTCCCCATCGTAGGGGGCTGACCAGACGCGACAGGCACGGACGCAGTGGTCAATGTTGAGCCGCGCATCCCGCAGGTATTCCAGGTAGTTCCCTTCCAGCTCCGAGACCTCCTCCCACCTGCCGGGACGGTGGCCAGGGCTGCCCGTGGGCGTCCCTGGAGAGCGGGGCGTGGGGCTGGTGGCCTCCATGCCGAAGCTGGACTGGCGGGTGAAGAAGGAGATGCGAGACGGCGTGGAGGGCTTGGGGACGGTCACCACGGAAGAAGAGTCCACGCTGGGGCTGCCGTGGCCTGGGGACACGGATGAGGGAGGGTCAGCCAAGGTCACAAAGCCGCTCTGGACAGAGCCCCGTCCTCAGCAGGAGGGGCTCTGCATGTACAGGCAGAGACCCACCAGGAGGGATCCCTGTTGGTTAGGCTCTCCCCCCTAGCCTCACCCTTGGACCAGGCTGCGCGTTCCTCCTCCTGTTCGGGGGCGGGCAGGCTCTCCGGGCAGCAGCAGCGAGGGATCAGCGAGAGGAACTTGGCAGCGGCCTTGCCATACAGGTCCAGCTCCTTGACTGCCCTTTTCTGGCTCAGCATGACGTGGCTGCAGGGGATCAGGTACCTACGAGGAGGAAACAGCAGCTCATGAGTAAAGAGTAAAGAGCACTACCTGCACTGTGCTGGAGGCCCACCAGGGGGCGCGCCCCACCCAAAGATGCCAAGAAGATGAGCTAAACCTGCAGTGTGCTGGAGGCCCACCAGGGGGCGCTCCCCACCCAAAGATGCCAAGCAGGCGAAGGGGCGCCCGGGCAGCTGTTCTAAGGGAGTCGTTTTTCTGCCACCCCTCCAAAGAGATGCCGGGCAGACCTTCCTCTTCTGGCCTCAGCACTGCTGGGGGGACCTTGGCTTCCCCTTCCCCACAAAGAAGGCCTCTCTGCCCCCACCTGCCTTGGGCAGAGCGAGCCCTCCGCCAGGGACCCCCCCCTGCAAGGAGCCCCCAGTACCTCAGTACCAGCTGCAGCAGGACGTCCTCGCAGTGGAGGCTGATCAGAGTCCGGAAGAGGCTGAGGGAGACCATGCAGAGCTGGGGGAACAAGGAGAAGGGGAGGATGAGAGAAAGAAGCCCACCCTGAACCTCCCCCCACTGAACTAGGCAAAGGCCCCCAGCCCCTCCCTTCAGGGCCGGCCTTCCTGCAACCCTGAGCTGCTGCTCCTTGGGGGGGGGAGCTGAAGGGGGTCTCTCTTCTGGAGACTGATTTGGGGGACTGCTTTCAGCCTTCACATCTTCCTCCCGACCATGTGCTCCCCCCCCCCACAGTGCCCAGGCCAGGCTGGCCGCCTCACCCGGGAGTTGCTGGCGATCCGTGCCACCAGCGTGTCGAGGATGGTGCTGTTGTCGTGGTGATGGAGCAGCAGGAACCGCAGGAAGGTCTTCAGCAGGGCCGTCTCACTGACGCTGCGCAGGAAGAGGTCCAGGTAGGCCGTGCTGGCGATCATCTCTTCGATGGACGTCTGCAGACGGAGGGACCTCAGCAAAGGCTGCCCCCCCCTGCCCCCCAGGCCCCCTACCCCTGGACTCTGCAGCTGGAGGACGCGGCTGACCCAGTGGGGGGGGGAGAAGATGCCCATCTCCCCTCGGGCGCTGGCACACACACACACACCGCGATAGCTCATCTTTGGCAGGAGCTCCGGGTGTCTCATCACACCCACGGACAAAGCAGCAGGTGCCCGGCCAAAGGCAGCCCTCCCCCCCCTGCCCCCTGCTGCCATAAATCCAACCGCGGGCAAGGCAGTTTACCCAGGGGGCATCAGCCCCCCTTTGAAAGGGAGAGAAGACCCGCCCCTCACCTTGTGCAAAGCCGGGCCCATAACCGGCACCAGGAACCCATTGTGGATGTAGTCCACCAGCTGCTTCTGGACCAGCGGGTGGGCCACCTGCAAGGAAAAGGGGCAGGAGGAGTCAGAAGGGGTGCCCAGCCAGGACTCCCCCCCCCCAAGAGGAGAAACAGCTCAGAGCAGCTGGGGAAGTCCCACACTCAACAGGTGAAATCCAGTCACCCTGGGCCTGGCCAAAACACCTCAGGAAGGGCAGCTGCCCCTCCCATAAGCTCGCTCCCCCCACATCAGGGGCCTCATTGGAAGAATGGCCTGGTGTTCTGCCTGCAGGGGGGGCAGCAGCAAGGAAAGTGGAAAGGGACCCTGGGTAAAACCTGAGAGGGGCAGGATCCACAGAGGCCAACGTACGAGTGAAGGTCGCCCCAACAGAGGGGGTGCCCAGCCCTGTTTGCACAGGGCCTTAGCACAGAGCCCCCCCACACCGCACACCTCTGAGCTGCTCTTGGGGGGCTACTGCTCCCACATTCCTCCAGAGTCCACAAGAGCCGAATCTCAGGACTCTGCTCAGCCCTCCAGGCGGCACCTTCTGGGCGAGACCTGCTCAGGGTTTGAGGCGGCTACTGGATGCCCTTCTCTCCCCCCACCCACCCACCCCGGCTCTCTCTGCCGGACAGCAGCCTTACCTGGATGACCGCATTGCAGAACTCCAGGGAGTTCATGAACAGGACGAGGGACGGGACCCCGATCCAGTCCTCCCGGCGCAGGAAGTGCCAGTCGTCCCCACGGACTTCAAGTTTGCGGGGCAGCGAGGAGTACAGGGCGCTCAGTCCCGTGGCCAGGACCTGGGTGGGGATGGAAGCTCCTGTCAGAGTGGGGGGGGAGGGAGGGGGGCAGCCGTTATCAAGGCAGGTTATCTAAAACTGGGCCAGGTCTTTGATTCCCAGGACAGAGAAGAACGCCGCAGAGAGCCTCCGCACGGCTGCATGAGGACGGACGGGGCTGGACCAGCTGCCCGCCTGCCTGCCTGCCTGCCTGCCTGCGTCCATCTGGCGGATGGGAACCGGGGGGGAGAGACGGAACAGCCCCCCCCCAGTGCAGACAGCAGCCCTATCCCCTCTGTGAAACAGCTTTGGCTTTATTGATTTCTGCCCGCCTAAAACTCCCCAGGCAGCAAAGAGTGACTCTCTCCTTCCACCGAGGATGCTGATGGGAGCTGCCCCCCGCCCAGCTCAAGAGCTCGTGTGTCCCGGTGCCCAACCAGGGGCAAGAAGCTGCACAGGGCCCTGCAGGGCGTGCCAAGCCTCCTCCTTTGCACTCATCTGGAGGAGGAGGGGGGGCAAACGGGCAGTCAACACCCCCTGCCAATGCCTGTGTGGGCTGACTGCTGGAGCCAGCTGGCCCCCCCCTTTGCAGGACGTGCCTCCACAGCTGCTCAGTCCCCGCACCGTCCGTCAGGCGGGCACAGTCAGGCGAGCACAGAGCCAGCATAGCATGCCAGCCCTGCCAACTGACCCAGCCACTCCTGGCATAGACTGCCAAATGACCACATGGAGGAACCACAGCCCAGAGACCACGAGCAGCATCTTTGCTATTTCTGGCCTGACATTTTAAGCCTCTCCTCCTCCCTCCACAGCCTGCAATTCTGGGTGCCCACATTTGTTTCTAAAACTGGTTCACCACTCTATAGCAACAGCTCTGGGGTAACAAATATAACCGAAACCTCAGCTCAAAATAATGTAGAAGCCTGAAAAAATAACGGGATTAACTTAATCACTTTAGAACAGCTGTTAAAAATAACAAATAAAAGATACTGCCACGAGGCGAACGTTGAATTTGGTAGGAAAGCGGTAGGCCTACCTTGCAGGAGCCAACGAAGGCTCTGAAAGGCAGCCAGGTGCCCACCAAACCAGCAGGGCAATGGGCAAATGGCACCTCCCCTGGGCTGGCAGGGAAAAAAATACTGGGAGGGCGATTCCCGCGGCCTTACCGGGCAGAAGTAGGAGTGTTCGGTGATGTAGCGGGCGACAGTCTGGCTGCCGGACGACACGGCCATGAGCAGGAGCAGCGCGTCACGCGCCTGTTGGCCCACGACCCCTTCGTGGTGGATGAAGGGGATGAGGAGGGAGAAGAGGAGCAGGTGGGGGGGTCCCTGCTCAGAGGGGCTGTGGAAGAAGAGCTCCAGCAGCGGGGGCTCCCGGGCCACGGAGACGCAGAGCTGGTTCAGCAGCAGCACCAGGCTGGTCTCCAGCAGGGGCGAGGCCGGCTCGGCGCACAGGGCCAGCAGCCGCAGCAGGGGTGCCACCACGGCCTTCTGGCGCAGGAGCGGCTGGTGGGCCTGGCTGATCAGCATCTCGAATAGCTTCAGCAGCTCCACCTTGCGCTCCTCGGGCACCTCCCGCTGCAGGTGCCAGCCCAACAGGTGCTCCAGCACGTTCTCCGAGACCGCAAACTCCAAAACGGGCCCCATCGCCGGCTCGGCACGCGGGCGCTCCTCTGCCAGCAGGGTAACCATCTGGTAGGTGTTGTTGCGCACGGCGCTCAGGTCATCCGCAGACCCCGGGGCCACGTGGGGCCCGCGCTTCTCCAGGATCCTTAGCACCTGCCCAGAGAGGAAATGTGTCGGGCTGGGTCCGTCCCCCACTGGGCCAGACCCATCCCAGGGGGTGCCCTGACTTGGGGAGGGTTTCTTGCCCATCCATCCAGTCTGCTCCACACACGCTGGCTGTGGCCCTCTGTGCTCCACTGCCCCTTCGCGCTGCCCCTGGCTGCCCAAAGCTGCTCACCTGAGCCACTCACCTGAGTCACTCACCTGAGCCCAGTGGTTCTTGAAGACCATCAGGCAGGTTTCGGGGTCCGCCATCACCGGGCCCTGCAGGCTGGCACCCCGGCTCGCCCTCGGCCCAGCTGCTGCTCGGGGGTTCAGTTTGCTCAGCCAGCTCATCTTCTCCATGGGGAGGGGCCAGAACAACCGGGAGGGGAGGGGGCTGCAGGCAGGTCAAAGGTGGCCTCGGGTGAGGCAGAGCAGGTGAGAAGCCGCCAGTCTCCTGGCTGGGGCATCCATGTTGCTACAGAGGTGGTGCCAAGCTGCAGACACAAGAGACAGAAAATGGGCTGTGTGGGGGGCGGAGGGGGATCCCAACTGTTTGTGCAGAAGACCCTCCAGGGCTGGACAATCAGAACTCTGGAAAGCAGACCCGCCAGTCAAGGAAGGGGGCAGATGCAGCTGTCGGGCAGCTGTCGGGCAAACGATTCAGAGCCCTTTGCAGGTGGGCACCAGCTGCTCTCCACCCCAGAGCGGAGGGAGGCCCCGCAAAGCTTCTGCTACACGGTCCCAGCCCCGCCTTCTGAGGCTCGGATGCTCCTCCCTGGGGAAGCCCAGTTTTCCAGGCATAAGAGGGCTCTCCCAAGTGACCAGGGCAAATTCAGGACACGCCATACCCCGCCCCCCCAAGCCGTTTGGCCTGGCCGAGGCTGCCTGTTCTTAGGGAGCAGGGCATCCAGCATCCCAGCCCCGGAACTGGAAACACGGCTACCAAGTTCACCGTGAATAAGCAAAGAGGAGACGTGCCAGGGAAATCCCTTGCCCACTGCCAGTGGGCAACTGCTGGGGCTCAAGCACTCGAGTGCCCTGGCACAAAACCCAGGGAAGGCCGGGGACCTCCTCAGGTGCCAAGGAGATGAGGAGGCGAAAGCTGTGTGATGGGCAGCTGCCACTGGGGCGCCCCGGCACAAGAAGGGCCCCTTCGATGCTTCTGCATGTTCTGTCATCACGAGGCGAACTGAGGCTCAGAAACCACTTCCTGAACGTCATTCTGCCCATGGGCAGCGCCAGGGTTTACTGATAGCGCCCAGCCTTGAAATGGCCTCTCAGCTGAGCTGGAAGGGCTCCTGCGCGTCCCTCGCTCAGGGCACACCCCAGGCTGGTCCCTCCTGACAAGGCAGACGCCCTCAGTGCCCACAAAACCACCCCAGAGACGCAGGAGGGATTTGCTCCCAAGAACTGAAACGGAGCCCGTGCACAAAGAGGTCCGGGAACCGGCCGGCCCGTGTCCAGGAGCCAGGAGGCCTCTGAGGTCAGGGGCAGCTGGGTTTCCTGAGCCAAGAGGGGCTGCCTGACCTCCCGGCTGACAGCGGCTCCCTGGCTGTTCCGACAGAGATCTCGGCTGCTTCCTTGGCACAACTGCCCGGTGGAGCCGCCAGGGAGACGGTCTCGGCTCCTTTTAGAGCAAGCATGGTCCGTCTGCAAGGACCAGCAGCCACCGCCGGCAGAGGACCAGTGTGAGCTCAGCCCCATGGGCCCTGGGCTGCCAGAGCGGGGAAACCAACAGGGTGGCCGTGGCTTCAGTTCAGCTTTTCTTCCCAAAGGCTGTGGGAGAAGGCTTGGCCCTGCGTCCCACGACAGAAAGGCACCACCAGCTGGGAGTGCTGCAAGGGAAGCCTGCTGGCTCTGCCACCACCCGAAGCCAGGGCCAGCTTCCCGGCGGCCTTCCCACAGCGCCACCGAGAGGGGGCCACAAGAGGCGGGATCCGCACCCGCCAGTCTAGGCCAGGGACAGGCAGGGCAGTGGCACACTCAAGAGGGACGGCAAAAGTGCGGCACAACTGCCACCCCACCCCTGCGCTCTGCAATCGCTTTGGCACCAGTCGGCCAAGCACCCTGGGGGGAGGGGGAGAAGGAGGGGGAGCACTGAGGGGGGGAAGTAAAAGTTCAGAAAGTGAAGGTGCCTCCCCAGACGGCCTTTCAAGGTCACTCCTGCAGGAGAAGAACGCAGAGCCGTTTCCAAAACACCTCCTTCGAAATTGATTGGACGTGGGGAGGGACCAGCAGAGGGACGTGGGGAAGTTTGGGGGGGTTTGGCACACCTATTTCAAGTTCTGGCTCGGCACTCCTGTACTTCACTCGGCTTCCAGCCAACCCTACTTCTCTCCACCCCATGGGTGTTGAGCACCGTTCTTGCTTAGAGGCTCCAGCTGAGGCAGGGCTGACCCTCAGCACGTGGGCCGCCTTCAAGCCTGCCCGGGGAGGAGAGGCAGGTTCTTCCCTGGGGTGGGGGTGGGGATGTAGGCTGGGACCCTCTGCTCCGTTTGGGATCCCCTGAGCTCCCCACCCCCACCCCAGGGATGGGCTTCCTACAAGGCCCCCTTGAGAGGTTCTCCCGTTGTACCCAGCCAGCCCCGGCCCAGGTTTGCCAGTTATGGGGGAAACTTCCTGACAGTGAGAACAATTAACCAGTGGAACTACCTGCCTCCAGAAGCGGTGAATGCTCCAACCCTGGAAGTTTTTAAGAAGAGACTGGACAGCCATTTGTCCGAAATGGTGTAGGGTTTCCTGCCTGAGCAGGGGGTTGGACTCGATGACCTCCAAGGTCCCTTCCAACTTTATTATCATCATCATCATCTTGCAGGCCCCGTGTACATCCTGATACTTTGACCTGCCCAGGCACAGGGAGCAGCTCAGGATGCTGGCTCCAGCCATTGGGCGAGGGGAGCAGCTGGCACCAGGATGCCCGCAGGAAGATGCCCTTTCAGCCGAGACCAACCGGCTGCCTCTCTCCGCTCCGGGTAAGACCCAGGTAGATGCATGAGCTCAGCTGACCCAGGAGAGCGACTTTAAAACAATGTCCTGTTGCAAAGCGTAACTCTTGAAATGTCTAATTAGGTATTACAACTTTTCAAGTCACACTGGTGTATTTTTACACAAGGTGCAACAATTCAAGGACACCTGTAGAAACACAAGCCTGAAATGGAGCCGGGTTGCAAATGCTGCCTGTGGGAGTCTCATTCCAACACCTCACCCTCGAGCAGAGCCCCCCAGCACCACACAGAACAGCCCCCCCTTCCCCCCCATGCCAAAGGGGGCTAGAGGGGCCCTCGGTCACTGGATCACGAAAGCTTCTCACATGCACCGAAAGGGCCACAAATGCGAGCTTCAGCTAAACTCCAGTTGAGAACACCGAAGACCCCCCACTCCCTTAAAAGGACCCCTTGTTTTGAAACCCCCATCATCCCAAAATCCAGACCCAAACCACACCCCATCGCAAGGGGGGGGAGGGAGGACTTGGTGAGGCCTCTGGATTTACAAGCCTTCCCCCACATCAACCCCCATGTCAGTTTCCACTGCAATCTGGAAGTAAACAGAGGAGTGAAGGGGGGTGGTGGTTGCTGACCGCAAGACTTCCGATAGCCAGCGGTAGCAAAGCACCCTCTCCACTGGGCAAGGGCAGGCCGGCTCAGGCAGGGCTGCTCGGCTACAGCGGTCACTCAGCAAGGAGAACCGGTGAGAAGCTCTCCTCCACCCTTTGGGGCAGCCCTGGGCCTCGGCCACCGAGGGACCGGGCCATCCCAAAATTCCCCAGGCCATGAGAAACAGGGACTGGGCCAGCCAAACGGTGCTGGGGGGGGGGGCTCAGCAGCAGCCCACCCAGGGCCAGCAGCCCAGGAGGGAGACTCCCCAGAGCCCAACAGCCAGGATTCTCCTTAAGGTGCCACCACATGCCCAGTCCTCCTGCTGGACCTGCCCCCCCCTCCTTCCAGGGTCTCCAGCTTTCCCACCCCGGGACAGACCCCATCCCTCCCCAGCAGGGGCTTGAAGGCAGGGCTGACTGGAAACCCAACTAAGACCACCTCCCCATCCCCAGCATGGGGCAGGCGTCCCCTCTAGGCACACTCACCCGCTGCCAAGACAGGAAGGCGGAAGCAGCTGCTTGGCCCTCGTCTCTTTGGACTTTGCCCCTTCCGGGAGCCGTGAGGAGGCAGGGGCAGGCCACGGCAGGAGGAACGGCCTCCCTCAAACCCCCCCCCCTCCAGACTGGACATAAAGGTGCAGAAGCCCCTTACCCAGCACCCAGGCAGCACCAGGACCACCTGCTCTCCAGCCTTGCAGGGATGCTCCGGCCAAACCGGAGCCACAGTGCCCGGTCCAAGGAGGAGTCCGGCTCCACCGCAATGGCCGGACTCTCAGCCGTGGCAGCAGCCCTTCCCTGAGGCCCCACAAAGAGGCCGGTGTCTGCTTAGCCCCAGGCAAGCACAAGGCCTTCCCAGACGGGCCATCGGAGCCCACCAGCCCCAGTCTTGGTCTCAACCAGCCGGGTGGGCAGGCAGGTGGGTGGCCCAACCCAGACACTGGGCCAGTGGAGAAAGGGCAGCCCTGCCCGCCATCAAACACACACACCCCAGCCAGAAAGGCGTTAGCACAGGGGCTTTCACCCGAAGTCTTGTTTCAATGGTGGGAAAATCCACCTGGTGGTGCCCACTTCCTTTCTCTTAGCCCCGTCACCCCTTGCGTAGGTTGTAGATAGTTAGTGATGTTCACCTGCAGGTAAGGCTGATGCTTCCCTGGCACCTGAAAGCCACCCTCCCTAGACGGGCATCTCTGAGTCCATGGAGGCCCCACTCGCGGTCTTGGCAGGCACCTTCCCACCGCCCCCCCCTTAAATGAGGCCTTCCACCTGCCTCCCCCCACACGAAGCGATTCACGCGTTCCTGCAGGTCAGGAAGTCCTCTGTCGGGGCCAGCTGTCCTGGGGTTGATCGCAGGGACAAGGCTGCTGCCAGCAGGTGCTGCCCTGCAGGGCCCACTGACTGACTGGCAGACCCATCTGGAGGCTGCAGCAACACACACACAAACACACACACACACACAAGACGGCATCACACAGGCTCTTTTATTTTAGGGAGGGGCAGCAGAGGCTCCCTCAGCCCAGATGTGCAAGGCCAGGAGGAGGGGGGCAGAGAGAGTGCCAGGGCAGACAAGCTCTCCTCCAGGGAGGCAGCAGACTCCCCCCCCCAGCCAAATGGCTTCTGCTCCCCTCCCCCAGGAAAACCAATCCAGCAGAAAGCAACCAGGCCGGCTGCCCCATGTCCCTCCCCCCAGGATAACCAGCCAGCAGCTGAGCACCCCCCCCCCCTCCTGCTGCATATGTGGGACAGTTCCTGCCTCTTCGGCCAGAGG